AACTCCTGACCTTGTGATCCACCCATCTTGGCCTCCCAAAGTGCTGGGATTACTGGCATGAGCCACAGTGCCCCGCCTCCCCTATATGTGTTTAATAGATTAAAAATTTATGCCGCTGGGCCCGGTGGCTCACGCGAGTAATCCCAGCACTTCGAGAGACCGAGGCGGTCGGATCACGAGGTCAAGATTTCGAGACCAGCCAGGCGAACAAGGTGAAACCCCGTCTCTACTAAAAATGCAAAAAATTAGCCGGGCATGGTGGCGGGCGCCTGTAGTCCCAGCTACTTGGGAGGCTGAAGCAGGAGAATGGGGTGAACCCAGAAGGCGGAGCTTGCAGTGAGCCGAGATCGTGCTACTGCAGTCCAGCCTGGGCGACTGAGCAAGACTCCGTCTCAATAAAATAAATAAATAAATACATAAATAAGCCAGGCGCTGTGCCCGGTGCCTGTAATCCCAGCTACTTGGGTGGCTGAAGCAGGATAATTGTTTGAACCCGGGGGCGGAGGTTGCAGTGATCTGAGACTGTGCCACTGCACTCCAGCCTGGGCAACAGAGTGAGATTCAATGTCAAAACAACAACAACAACAAAAAACAACGACAACAAAAAAGTTATCTTCTTGTGTCTAATTAAAAGATTTTCACATATGGTTTAAGGAAATAATTGATCTTTATTTTATCAGTATGGATATTCAGTTTTTAACACAATTTTTTGAAAAGATTATCTTCCGTTGTGTGCTCATGTCAATTTTGTGGGAGATTATTTGGCCATGTACAGAAGAGTTCATTTCTGGGCTCTACTCTCTTCTTTCATCTGTTTATCTGTCTTTGTGTGAGTACCACATTGTTTTTGTTATTGTTGCTTTTAATATGTTTCAAAATCAGAAGTTATAATGCCTCTTTGTATTTTTCGGTGGGTGGTTGGCTATAGTTCATAATAAAATTTTAACATCTCAAACAATATTTCTTTAAAAAACTACTATTGGGAGTTTTATAAAGATTATATTGAATTTGTCTGCCACTGTAGGTTGTATTGACATTTTTGAAACACTAAATTTTTTTATTCCTGAGAAAAAATATGTTGAAGAGTGTTTTATTTTAATGTATTTTTGGATTTTTCAGTTTTAATCTCCAGTTTAATATAGTTTTCATCAGAAAACACAAAGTGGATAATACTGATCTTCTTAAATTTATTTGTTTTTTTGTGTGTGTTTGTTGTTTTTGCTTGATGACAGGATCTTACTCTGTCACCCAGGCTGGAGTGTATTGGCATAATCTTGACTCACAGCAGCCTCAACCTACTGGGCTCAAGTTATCTTTCCACCTAAGCCTCTCAAGTAGTTGGGACTACAAAGTACCACGTCTAAATAATTATTTGATTATTTTGTAGGGATAGGGTCTCACTGTGTTGCCCACGCTGGCCAGAAACTTTTAGCTCTAAGTGGTCCTCACACATTGGTCTCTCTAAGTGTTGGGATTATGGGCATAAGCTACACCACCCACCTGGCATTCTTAAATTTAATAAAACTTAGTGTGTATCATAACAGAATACACCAGGTGCAAATAAGAATATTATGTATTCCCTTGCTTTTGACTGAAAAGTTTTGTATGTGTCTGTTAAGCCTAGTTGGTCTACAATATGGTTTTGATGTTGATGTTACCCAAACCTTATGCTACAATTAATTCTAAATGTTAGATGTCGGACCTGGTAGGAGGTGTTTGGGTCATGGGGCAAAGTCTTTATGAATAGTTCGGCACCATCCTCTTGGTAATCAAAATGTGTATGCTTTATTAATTCAAATGAAAGCTGGTTTATTAGAAGAACCTGGCTCCTTCACCTCATACTTGCCCTGTCTGTTATCATGTGGTACGTACAATTAATCTTCACCTTCCACCATGATTGTAAGCTTGCTGACACTCTCACCAGAAGCAGATACTGGCACACACTTTTTATACAATCTGCTGAATTGTGAGCCAAATAAACTTGCTTTTTTATAAATTATCCACTGTCAGGTATTCCTCTATATGCAGTATAATAAATACAGTGTATAGTGTTGTCTAGGTTTTCTGTTTTCTTATTCCTTTTTATATGAATCTTCTATTTATTATTGAAAATGGGATCTTGGTGTCTACAATTACCATTTTCATTCTGTTTTAAATATTCTGTGGAAGATCTTTCAGGGTTTTAAGCATCATCATTATGATAGTAAAGATTTCTGTATTTGTATATTTACATTTAATAGAGAGTTTTATTTTATATATGATTTTATGATACTGTCCAGTAGTTTTTTTTTAAACAAAACTGACTCGTGTTAGCATTTCTTATTGTTATATGCAGAGTCTCACGTTACTCAGGCTGATCTGAAACTCCTGGTTTCTAGTGTTCTAACAGACTTGCCTCCTAAAACTGTAGGATTACAGGCATGAGTCCACGGACCCTGGACACCATGTAGCACTTTTTTATAGAACTGTGCTAGTGGTGATGAGCATTCTCACTTTTTATTTTGGAAATTTTTTATTTTCATCTTCTTTTTAAAGTGAAATAAATTTAAATCAAGTATTATTGGTTAGAGTTTTTTTTTTCTTTTGTTACATCAAAATTTGGGAAGTTCTCACCCTTTTTTATTTTCAAGTAACCTCTGTATTATTTTTTTCCATATTCTTCTAAGATTTTCTTAATATGTTAATCTAGTTGATGGTGGTATCTAATAAGGTTCACATTCCATGTTTTAATTTGGTTTTGCAATTTTGTATTTTTGTGTTTTATATTTTAGGGTATGCCACCACACATCTATATATGCTTTGATATTTTAGTATAATAATTGTGCATGCCAATATGTAACTTTATGAAATTCAAGACAATCTGGAGCAAAATCAAATATGATTGAGCCATATGTCTTTTTCCAATAGAATTATCTCTATTTTTGTTTGCCAGTATAAATGTTATCTTTGTATTTTTTATAACTTGTGTATTTGTTGTGTAGGTTTGTTGTGAATGATTTTCTAATCCTGTGTAGCTCAGTAGTCATAATATTCTTACAATTTCAACATCCTATTTATTTATGAATCTATATTTTTTTTGTGGGAGAAACACTTTTAAATGTGAATATAATTTAAAACTATCATAACTCTATACATCTTTTAGTTATTATTATTTTTACTTGTCAAAAACAAAATTTACCACAAAATATATTTAAATATGTAGTCTTATTAATCATCTTGAAATTTTCATGCAACATTTTGCTAAAATGTTTTTATCTTGAAAGCTAAATGTTAATACATATTAACTACCAAATTTTTTTTTTTTTTTTTCTTGAGACGGAATTTTGCTCTTTTTGCCCAGGATGGAGTGCAATGGCACGATCTTGGCTCACCGCAACCTCCACCTCCCGGGTTCAAGCGATTCTCCTGCCTCAGCCTTTTGAGTAGCTGGGATTACAGGCATGTGCCACCACACACAGCTAATTTTGTATTTTTAGTAGAGACGAGTTTTCTCCATGTTGGTCAGGCTGGTCTCGAACTCCTGACCTCATGATCTGCCTCAGCCTCCCAAGTAGCTGGGATTACAGGCACACGCCACCACACCTGGCTAATTTTTGTAGTTTTAGTAGAGACGGGGTTTCACAATGTTGGCCAGGCTTGTCTCGAACTCCTGACCTTAGGTGATCTGTCCGCCTTGGCCTCCCAAAGTGCCTAAAATACAGGTGTGAGCCACCATGCCTGGCCTGGCACATCAGTTTTATTTTGCAGCTTCAAAGATTTTTTTTTTTTTGTCTGTGACTTTTGAAATCGTGCTTATATATGTGTTTATTATAAATATCTTTCTGTGATCCTAGTTTGTTGAGCTTCTTTATATTTACATCATTTTTTCTTACTTTTAGGATCAGTTTTTATATTTTTACCTCCACAATTTCTGTTTTTTTGAAATCTTAAATATTTTTGTTCTCATCCTCATTTTTCTGATTCTCTGTAGTTGTCTCTGTTCCTATTTTAATCAGTATTATTCAATTTATTATCAATTCTTAAAATTAATGTAGATATCTTTTTATGGTTTCTTTCTGAAAATTTTATATTTTTGGTGGAATCATATTGCCCTATTTTGTATATATTATAATCTTTGATTGAGATATGGACGTCAAAAAAAGCTACCTGTCAAAGTCTTTATAATGTAGTTTTGTCCTGGCATAGTCTGAAAACAACTATCTTGTCTAATGATTAGGGGAATTTCTCCAATATGTTCTTAGGGTATGTGTTGTCTGAAATTTTGTGTTTATTTTTAATTAAGAGGGTTTACTCATGTTACTTTGTAGGAGTCAGTCGTCACTTGCTATGCCTGTTTCCTTTCTGTGGTACTGTGGTCTCTCTGCTGCTGTAACATTTTTCTTTGGTTTCAGCACTCAAACTGTCATTCCAAATTATGCCATGGTTTCTCTCAACACTTTATGTCATAAGAGACAGAAACTAGTGTCAGGAAAAGCCCCTAAAAGCTAGAAATAAAAATGAATGGGCTAGTATTTTACCTTTCTTTTAAAACAGAAACCAAGAGTTGGCAATTTACCTCTAAAGGCACTCTATTATAATGGAAAGCAGGAAAAGCTGTGTCGGGTAAATTTAACAGATTTCTTTTTTTTTCTGTGTGGTTTTTTGCATTGTGCTCACCCAAGACACTGCACACACTTATTAATATAAACGTAATTTGATCTGTATGTTTTTGTTACATATATATGCCTATGAAAGAATTAGGGCCTGTGCAAGAGAATGGCATGAACCCTGGAGGCGGGGCTTGCAGTGAGATGAGATCGCACCACTGCACTTCAGCCTGGGCGACAGAGTGAGACTCATCTCAAAAAAATAAATAAATAAATAAAAAGACTTAGGGCCTGTGGTATTTTGCAGTGCTATTTTGTTTATGTAGTTTGTGTAATTTTATAGGTAAGATTTTAAAACTGTATTCATTTGAGTCCAGTCAGTGGAGTAATTTATTATTTTTAATTTTTTTTCAGATATATGTCCTCATTTTGCTCAAGACTTTTGGCCAGAGCAGGGCATGGAAGATTCTTTTCAAAAAGTATTACTGAGAAAATATGAAAAATGTGGACATGAGAATTTACAGTTAAGAAAAAGTTGTAAAAGTGTGGATGAGTGTAAGGTGCACAGAGAAGGTTATAGTAAACTTAACCAGTGTTTCACAACTACCCGGAGCAAAGTATTTCAATGTGGTAAATATTTGAAAGTCTTTTATAAATTTTTAAATTCAAACAGACATACGATAAGTATTACAGAGAAGTCCTACAAATGTAAAGAATGTGAAAAAACCTTTCATTGGTCCTCAACCCTTACTAATCATAAGAAAATTCATACTGAAGATAAACCCTACAAATGTGAAGAATGTGGCAAATCTTTTAAGCAACTCTCAACCCTTATTACGCATAAAATAATCTGTGCTGAAGAGAAAATCTACAAGTGTGAAGAGTGTGGCAAAACTTTTAATCAGTCCTCAAATCTGACTACACATAAGATAATTCATTCTGGACAGAAACCTTACAAGTGTGAACAATGTGGCAAAGCATTTATCTGGCTCTCAACCCTTACTGGGCGTAAGAAAATTCATACTAGAGGAAAACCTTGCAAGTATGAAGAATGTGGCAAAGCATTTATTTGCTCCCCAACCCTAACTAGACGTAAGAGGATACACACTGAAGAGAAACTCTACAAATGTGAAGAATGTGGCAAAGCATTTCTATGGTCCTCAACCCTAACTAGACATAAGAGGATACACACTGGAGAGAAACCCTACAAATGTGAAGAATGTGGCAAAGCTTTTAGGCAATCCTCAACCCTTACTAAACATAAGAGGGTACACACTGGAGAGAAACCCTACAAATGTGAAGAATGTGGCAAAGCTTTTAGGCAGTCCTTAACCCTTACTAAACATAAGATAATTCATAGTGGAGAGAAACACTACAAATGTAAAGAATGTGGCAAAACTTTTAAGCAATTCTCAACCCTTACTACACATAAAATAATTCATGCTGGAAAGAAATGCTACAAATGTGAAGAATGTGGCAAAGCTTTTAATCAATCCTCAAGTCTTTCCACACATAAGATAATTCATACTGGGGAGAAGTCTTACAAGTGTGAAGAATGTGGCAAAGCATTTATATGGTCCTCAACCCTAACTAGACATAAGAGGATACATACTGGAGAGAAGCCCTGCAAATGTGAAGAATGTGGCAAAGCTTTTAGCCATTCCTCAACCCTTGCTAAACATAAGAGAATTCATACTGGAGAGAAACCCTACAAATGTAAAGAATGTGGCAAAGCTTTTAGCAATTCCTCAACCCTTACTAATCATAAGATAACTCATACTGAAGAGAAACCCTACAAATGTAAAGAATGTGGCAAAGCTTTTAAGCGACTCTCAACCCTTACTAAACATAAAATAATACATGCTGGAGAGAAACTCTACAAATGTGAAGAATGTGGCAAAGCTTTTAATCGATCTTCAAATCTTACTGCACATAAGATAATTCATACTGGAGAGAAACCTTACAAGTGTGAAGAATGTGGCAAAGCATTTATCTGGTCCTCAAGCCTTACTAAACATAAAAGAATTCATACTAGAGAGAAACTCTTCAAATGTAAAGAATGTGACAAAGCATTTATATGGTCTTCAACCCTAACTAGACATAAAAGGATACACACTGGAGAGAAGCCCTACAAATGTGAAGAATGTGGCAAAGCTTTTAACCATTCCTCAACCCTTACTAAACATAAGACAATTCATACTGGAGAGAAACCCTACAAATGTAAAGAATGTGGCAAAGCTTTTAAGATTCCCTCAACCCTTGCTAAACATAAAATAATATATGCTGGAGAGAAACTCTACAAATGTGAAGAATGTGGCAAAGCTTTAAATCAATCTTCTAATCTTACTACACATAAGGTAATTAATACTAAAGAGAAACCTTACAAGAGTGAAGAATGTGGCAAAGCATTTGTCTGGTCCTCAACCCTTACTGAACATAAGAGAATTCATACCAGAGAGAAACCCTACAAATGTGGAGAATGTGGCAGAGCATTTAGCCAACCCTCACACCTCACTACACATAAGAGGATGCACACTGGAGAGAAACCCTACAAATGTGAAGAATGTGGCAAAGCTTTTAGCCAATCCTCAACCCTTACT